AAAGAAAAGAATTCAATGGAGAGAGAGAGAGAGTATACTTCTTATGAAGATAGTTTTTGCATCACATAATGTTAGCTTTCTTCATGGTTTTAATCGCTTTGCATTTGTTTTAAGACTGATGTATGTTCGTTGTAGTTGGTATCGGCTACAAAGACATTTTGCAATAGTTCTGAGGAAACCGACGGAGACGAAGTGAAATACGTTAATTTTTGTTGTGGTTAAAGCAACTGCAAACCTATGTTGCACCGATACACCTATTTATGAAGGCGTGATGTATCCAATACACCGATACACGGATACGCCTCCGTACGCCACCGATACGTGTCGGATACACCAAAGCCGTATCCAATTAAAATACTATTTAATTTCAAAAAGACACGCATATCCGTTGAAAAACAAAAAGAAATCCAAAAAAAAAAGACGCATCGTATTTACTTCCGGGGTTGCGAGCAAGCTAGGTTCTCTCCTTTCCGAGATGGATTTGAGTCTCTTGATGATATGGGAATATTAGAAATTACTAATCTTTCACTTGATGAGCCTGAATTAGAAGCTATGATATTTATTGAAGATGATATAGAAGTTCAAAGACAAACCAATGAAGAAGCTAATCATATCATTCCTTCTATTGAATAGTTGAAACTTCGTGTGCTAGATAATTTATGTTTATGCTTTTGTTGTTGTACTAGACATTTAATGCTTTCTTATATTTTGATATTATAAGCTTCAAGGCTACAAATGATTTTTTTTTTTTTTGTAATTTCAAATATTATGCTTTGATTGCTTTCTTAATTTTTATGTATGATTTATAAATTATAATGTCGTGTCTGCGCCGTACCCGTATCATATATTTTTAAGAATTGACGTGTCCCGTATCCGTATCGTGTCGTATCCGTGTCGCCGTATCCGTATCGGTGCAACATAGCTGCAAACCTAGGGTTTTCGAGGCAGTTTTAACCACGACATGTAAGTTTAATTAAGCTTACAGGTTGATGTATGAAAGTATCTCTATGGCTTCATTTGGGGCAACTTTTTATTGCTTCTTAAAGCAACTATGTAGTATAAAAAAAAAAAAAACTATACCAAAAAATTGTTTTAAGAAGCTATAAAAAAGCCGTCCCAAACGAAGCTTATATATGTCTTATGAATGAAGATAGTCAGATTACTATCTGAACGATTGCTTGTTATTTTTGTATAGCTAGTGAACAGTCTGATTAAGTAACAAAATTCTTGAGTGAATTGTTAGGTGGGGTTCTTATTGCTCTAAATCTTAGAATGGCATGCAAAAGAAAAAAAAAAAATAAATAAATAAAAGCTCAGAAAGCTTGAGAGCTACACACTTAAAACGGTCCATTTTTTTAAATTTAGAACTGGGATTGTCCAACTCCTGCAATGAAAGAGACTTCAATACAAATTCATCATAAACTAAGGCAATCCCTGCACTATATTGGATAATTATAACTTGGGGAGTGGTAAATGAGAAAAAAAATGTTATTTCAATCATCCATTAATGCATGTAGAACACATTTATATCTTTTGTAGGATTGCTTTTTTAGAGATGATTTCATTCTCATATTTAGCATACATAAAGCTAGCTACTACACTATAAAAAAAGGACTATCGCAGTACTAAATATAGGTTTTTGCGGTGGTTTTAATCGTCACAAAAATACTTACAGCGGTTTTAGCTGCAACAAATATATTTGATTAAAAGACTATTGTAATTACTATCTGTGGCAAAGATATTTCACATCGGTCAACAAACTGTTGGGGAAGAGTTTTTGAAGTACAAGTTCAAGTAACGATTTTATATACTAAAAATAGGTCAGAACATATAAAGAAACATAAGCTTTAATTTGCATTGATTACACTATTTACAAACTAACATACATATATTCTTAATTAAATCCATGATATTTGCATAAAATATCAAAGATAAAATATTAAAGAATGAGATTTCCAAAGTACTAAAAGATAAATTTTCACACAAATTACCATTATTCATTTTGATTTATGGATGTAGCTAATAGCTAGCTTTCCTTTTGTTCACAAAGCACGGAGAAATTTCATATATAATTGATTATGTCTTTGTTTGTGATAGCTTTTTTATTACTTTCTAAAGCAGCTTTCTACTAAAAAACTACTTTATAAAGTAATAATAAAGTTGTTCCAAACAAAATCTTTATCTTGCTTCAACAAATTCATAGTTGAACTGAACATTTCGTTAAGATAAATCTAATGATACCAATAATGACCTAATCCGAGCCCAAATGAGGCCGAATCCAATAACACCAAGAATGAACATATGAATTGTCACTTTCAATGAATGGATGAAGAGCAATAAAAGAGAATGGATTAGTTGTCCATGCTTGCTTGAAGCAGATCCTGTCCCCATCAGACCTCCCAACCCTATTGTATGATGGTCAAAGGTTTTGGCTTTTAATAAGTATATATTCATGTGGATAAACTGTAGGCTTATTTTGGCTATCATTGCATGCACTTTTATAGGAACATTTTCTTTCTCAGATTTGTTAATTCTCAAGTACTGAGCTTGTCCCTTGTCCACTGTGTTATTCCTATTATTATTATTTTTATTTTTGGCTGAGTGGAATGAATAATTGATCCATAGTTCTTTAAATACATAGGAGAAGACTAATGAACCTCTTTATTACATCATGCTATTATTGTCATTGTGATGAAATATTATTACGTGCGGTGTCTGGATACATGGAATGATGTGGAGCATTCGGATTTGCCTTTGGACAGGTTCGAACTCCGCACAGAAATAATCTCTCCTTTGCGACGTCTTTTGCATTCTCTAGGCATGCACTTCGTTGACAAGTAATCTATATGAGAAGTTCTGACTTTTGATTCTCTCTTCTATCCCCATACCACAAGATGGACTCGAGCTTATGTCCTCTTTCGAGCTCATGATGGCTTGAGCTCAAGTCCATTTCATCATCTAAGGAGATGAGATATTATTTTGTGCAGTGTCCGAATGCATCTAGAGGCTAATTCATGTGTGCCACGTCATCCAATACAATGTACAGTGGGTGATGTGGCGCGTCTAAATTGGACTTCGAACTCGTACGGATACCTCACGTAATAATTTTTCCATCAAAAGAGAAGAGGATCAAAAGTGAAAAATCTACAAATTAGCTTGTCTTGATTGATGAGTATCCAAACAAGCTGTGCTATACCATCACGACAAGACAAAAGTAATTATAATTAACTCTTAACTAACTTTTTTTCTTAGTTAATTGCAAGAAGAAGTTAATTATTATAATTAACTCTAATTAATTTTGCTTCACGACAAGCCGGTCGCCAAACCATGGAACATTACCCAATTGGAAACAGACAAACAAAACCCGAGACAATCACCATCTAGATCTGATCCCCACTGTTTTTGGCTTATGTCTTTCATAATCTCTCTCTCTCTCTATCTCTACTCTCTCTCTATCTCTACTCTCTCTCTCTATCTCTATCCTCTCTCTCCATCACACAATTATTTAAGCCCAGTTCCAAACTGTGCTGCTCTCTCTTTCCCATTTGAGTCCTTTCAGTTTACTAAAACCGGCCCCCGCCTTATAAAAACAAGCACAAACTTCCACACTCTAACCCTTTTCTCTCTCTCTCTAAAAAAACTTCGACCAAAATATTCTGTTCTAATAATTTAAAAAAATTTATGTGACATGTAAATTAAATTAAATGAATTTAAAAAATTCAATTTAAATTAAAAATAAAAAAACTAAAAAATTTATTTTAAATTATATAATAAAATGAAAAATGTAAATATATTTATTTAGATCAATAAAATAAATATCATATACATAATAGAATAAATATTAATTTTAAAGATTATATGTCTATATTAATCATCTCATAATATATTATCATATTTAAGAGAAACTATTTTGTGCGGCCACCGAAAGATCCGGTGGTAAATTATGATGGACCACATTACTTGATACATAATGGTACATATCATCAGTACACAATGGTACACAATACCGGTACACAACAAAAAAATGACGTGGCGTGCCCTGAGGCGGTGTCCGATGACCACACAAAATAATTTTTCCATATTTAGGGAATGTTTTGAGTTATTTTCTGGCTGCTTTGATTGTCAGACTATGATTATTTGTTTGGCTACTATTTTCTTGTTTTTTTTTAAATCACTTGATAAATTTTTTGTGGCCAAAAGCTACTTTGGTAACTAACTATTCATTTGGGATATTTTCCTTATTATTTTATTTTTTAGATCACAATCAACTATTGATTTTTCTTGTTTTTAAAAAAATTTTGCACTTATATGTTTTTTACAACAACTTTAAAACGATATTTTCTCTAGAAAACTTTAAAAAGCAGTAAGAAAGTTGTCCCAAATAAGTCTAAGATTTCATTTGGGATAGCTTTCTTACTGCTCTTAAAGCGGCTTTCTAGTTAAAAATAAAATTTTATACTAAAAAACTGCTTTAAAAAATAATAAGAAAGCCGTCCCAAATGAAAACCTGAATCTATTAGTGTATGAGAACTATAAGAAAGTTACTCACTATCTTTTTTTAAAAGAACAAATTTATAATACTCACAATTGCTTTCAATAAAAAAGTTATTTTCTCCGCATTTTTTTGAACGGGTGTAACTATCCGCTGCCACTCCAAAGGGAGAGCTTAGCGGCATAACTAACCCCTCGGTGGAACCTAGAGAGGCCACCCATCGGCATCAGGCTCACACTTGTTTTGCCTTACTGAAGAGGCGAGGCTGTATTAGAAGGGATTCAAATTAGGGATGGGGGATTCCAAATCGTGCTCGCCCACCATCCACTCTTAGCCTAGGTGGATAAAAATGAAGATATTTGCCATAAGTTTATTATAAATAGTAAAATATTAATGAATTTGTGCATGTCATTTTAATAATAATAGTAATAATAAAATAAAAATTAAAGAATAATAAGTGTTAATTCTTTCCTATATATATATCCCTTATCCATCCGCTGCTTCTAAGATGGCGTCCGCTATGCCCACTCTTAAAATATTCGGCATCCACGTCACCCATGGCGAGGCAGTGGGCCCACTCGACTCCTCCATCTCCCCGGCGGCGGCCGCCACCGACGCCGGCAACGCCAGAAAATACGAATGCCAGTACTGCTGTCGCGAGTTTGTCAACTCCCAGGCTCTCGGAGGCCACCAGAACGCCCATAAGAAGGAACGTCAACAGCTCAAACGCGCCGCCGCCGCCGCCGCAGCAGCGGCTGCAGCTGCTGCCGCCACCGCAGCCAACTGCAGTCCCCTTTCCCCGTCATTCTACCCCCCTCTTCCTTCCGCCGCCGCCGTCGGCAAGTTGGTCTACCTAATCCGACCAACCGCGCCACTCCACCTGTCGCACGGCTGCGCCATCCGTACCGCTCCATACACATATCCATTCCTGTACGATTCCGCGGTGGGTAACGGCGGCGAGAAACCCGTTAGCGGTGCTACTGCTGGGCCGCTAGTCGTCGCCGGCGGCGATGATGGCTGCGGGGTTGACTTGCATCTAAGCCTCGGTACAGGCCGTTCACCGGCCTGAGTAGACCGGGCCGGGCCAGTTCGATGGATTTCGAAAGGTTTGGACTTTGGATACAATTTGTTCCATTCCATCTAATTTATGCTCTGTTGGATAAAAAAAATGTAAATTTCGTTTTTATTTCAGTTGAATTATGGGTGGTTGATTTCAATGTAATCATATTTTATTTTATTATTTTGTATTTTAATATTTATTTTTGAGATATTTATTCATTAGTTTGATTCTTGAAATTGAAAAAAAATATGTATTATTGAAAAATGATAATTTTTCTAATCTAAAAGCAATGAAATGAACCCTATCATTCTTCATTGATTTTTGAATAATTTTGATGTTTTAATGTCGTTGTTTGCTCCTTCTTCGTCTCTTTGTCTTTTTTTCTCATTCTCTCTGTTGCTCTCTATATATAGAGAGAGAATATCTCTCTATATACATAGAGAGAAGTATGAAAGTAGAATAGAAAGAGAAATAGAGAGATTCTAATTGCTTTAGTATCAAATAAATAAAGTATACCGTACAAGATATTTTATGTAAGAATTAGAAGAAACAACAAAAATCAGCTTGGCCTTTGTTGAAAACTTTTCTATCAATAATAGGTATGATTTATAAAAGGTCATCCTTTCACAATCCTAGAAAAGTTGGTTGTTATAAGCATACCAATGATAATGGTGATATGAGAAAGCTATTGAGGTAAATGTAGGTGATCCCATCAATGCTCTTTCTAGAGGTAAAAGCAACATGTCCTCTAGGAATATGTATATTATCGTTATGCATATGCAGCTCGTCTTGGTCTCTTGGTTGAGAGCTTTGGTCACCAACCAAGAGGCCTTTAGTTCGAGTCTAAGGTTGCTTTAATTGACCTAAACTTCCAAAAAAAATCTTCATGCATAAGAAAATAGCTTCGAAGGATTTTATACAGCTTAAGGGCTGTCAAAAAAGCTCATCATTCATTTTCTATTCATTCGTTAGTCAAACTGGTTGATATTAAAAGAATATTTTGTACTTATTTTCTTAATGAGTTGAACATAAACAAAACTCATCATGTAATGTGAATGCAATAAATTGAGTAATATTTAAGACCTTTTTAAATAGCAAAATATATATAATAAAAATAAAATAACAAAATGCCTTAAATATAGCTTGAAACTCATGAGAGCTAATTCTACAAGAAAATTATTTTTTTAAAGTAATCAAAATAATAAACCTATAATTATTGATTTCATAAACATTTCTATGCTTATAGGCTTCTAAATAGTCCACCCTAATTTAATATATTATAATACATCTCTAAAAATAAATAATTAATTAATAATTCTATTTAAAATACAATTATATTTACTATTTGTGACATGCTAGCTAAAATAGGGCATTAAAGGAACCACCTTTGGATAACATATAATAATATGTTGAGATCAAATAGCTATGAACCCAAAGAAGAGGGAGTCCTCTTAAAGGCCACCCTACTCTATCAATTCTTACTATAAAACCCTAATGGCTCCACCAAATTTCCATCACATTTAAGTAAAAAAAAAAGATAGTAAGAGAAAAATTAAATATTTTTATTATAATTTTAGTAGAGGAAAAATTATTATTAAAAGGGATGAAATTGATTTAAATTTTATTAAAATATTTAATTTTAGTAAATTTTTATCACTAAGATTGTATTGAGTATCACCTAAGCCTTCCCAACATAAAATCATCAACATATATAGTCCTTATCCATAGGTCTACCTCCTTTATTGTCACATCACATCATTTAAATTAGATCAATAATTTTCAATTTCTTATATTTTTGCCATTTGAACCAACAAATTGGGACCATGAGAATAATTTGCTAAGAAAAAATTTTCTATATCATTAATATAATTTTCTATTTTAAACATAATAATTTAAAATTAATAATTATGAAAATAAATTATTCCAAATTTTTCATAGGAAAAATATAAAAAATTTAGGTCAAAACTTGAAAAAAAAAATTAATTAGAATATTCCGATCAAAATCTAATTAGGATGGTCCATACAATTATTAAATTTATTTTGAGTTGAGAGTAATTAAATTTTTGATTAATTGCTGTATATTAAATATAATTTAAAAAATTAATCTAAAATTAATTCTATCCCTCAAAACTCTCTATTTCCATAAAATTATTAAATTTTATATATTAGTTTATGTGCTCATGAAAAGATTAAAATGTGCACACATAAATTTTTTTTTTACCTATTTATATCATAAATGATAAATTATTATTTTTAAATAAAAAAATGCTGTGCACATATTTATATTCTTGCCAAGAATTCATTATTAGGAATATATATTACTTTTTAATGATCAGTGATAGATTATAAAATATGTAGCATCTAGATTTTTTTTTTAAAAGTATATATTAGGTCACAGGTCCTTTCAAGAGATATTACATTTCATTTATTAATATTCAACATCTGCACATGAATAATTATTGCATTATAATTTGAGTTTCATTCAATATTTTTTTTTAAGAAATAGATATTGTCTTGTATATATACATATTTTCATACTATTTTTCAATATAATCAATACATATATTGTAATAACTATAATATGTGAAATAAATTTTATTGAAAACAATTCTAAAAGATTAGTTACTTACAATGAATAGAACAAAATTTGTAGTATGAATGACAGACAAATATAATCCAAAGGCTTTTATCTCTCCTCTCTATTCTTCCTCTTTCAATTTCTTCCTAGCCAAACAATCAAGTTAGGTAGTCAGTTGACGGGGTGAGGAAATTATATATATTCTGTTCATGGCCTACCACTGCAACGCTCACCATATCGACGCTAAAGCGCTCTACTTCAGAATTTTCATATTTTTCAAAAAATTGATTTAACATATTTGATATATACCAGATTGAACAAGTCATTATTCATATGTATTTATCCCATTAAGTATAAGAGCTTATAAAAATTAAGCGAATTCAAGCTATTATTGAACAAAAAACAATCCAATATGAATGAGATTCAGCCAACATCATAATTCCTTTTTGCAAAGATTACTATTATCTTTCCAAAAAAGAAGAAATCAAAAGAAGAGAAGTAGATAGTTAGCTACAAGAAACTCAAATGCCTTGAATTTCCAAACAAACCAAAAGAAAGCATGCATGGCCACACTTTCCATTTAAATATCTTCTTATGCAAGGCTAGTTTGAGCAATATTAATACCTTCTTATGACTATATGGACATTATTAGCTTAATGATAAGCAATTAAAAGTTATATCATAGGCTTGAGGAGGTTTAATTTATATGTAAGTTCTTTATTTTATTATTAGAATTTCTTAAAGATATTTTTTAATCATTATTTGTTTATATTTTGTTTCTCTAAAAGAAGCTAAAGAAAAGTGAGAAAGTTCTTTTTTTTCTTCTTCTCATTTTATTAATGATATTTATTTCTTAAGCTCATTTCTAATGACTTAGTTAAAAATATTTCATTAGTGCTTGGTTAGCTAAATTAGAATTATGTGTCATAAGCTTTCTTTGAGAAGAAAGAGATAATTGTATGAAAAATTCTTAAGCAAACTACATATTATCTAAGATTCCACACAATGTGCTCAATTAAGCACAAGCAAACAAACTTAATTAAACAATAAATGAGGCCATATCAATTAATTATCTTTTATAGCATTAATTGTGCATTGGAGGATTTTGGGGAGTGTTTATAAAGCTAAGTTTTCTTAGGAATCATGGCCTGTTGGTTAATAGAGATGGTTGTAATTCAAGGTCGAAGATTCATGCTTCGTTTGGGAGTGCTTTCCAAAACGGCTTTCTAATATAAAAATTTTTATTTTAAGAAATTTTTGTACTAAAAGTTGCTTTAGAAAGCATTAATAAAGCTGTCCTAAATGAAGCCTCAAACCCGCACTTGATGATTTATCCTATGATTAAATATCAAAAATAAAAAAATAAATAGATAAAAGGAAAGTTGAGCGAGTAAATAGTATTTCTTCAACCCATCTCATGTGAATAATAAGTAAATAAACACTAAATCTTATAAAATAGTGGAATATCCCAAGGGTAATTAAGTATAAAGCATTAACAAACAATAACTTGCATGAATTAATAAAGTAAATCATAATTAGAAATTATTCCTTCATTACAAGTCCTAGAAAAATAATACAAACCCATAAACCATTTGGAAATCATAATTAGTCGTCATTTGGATCAACTTTCTTACTGCTTTATAAATCAGCTTTCTAGTATAAAAACTTCTAGTTAAAAAAAAATTTACTATAAATTTGATTTAAAAAATAGTAAAAAAAATATTTCAAATGAAACCTTAGTCATTCATTAATCATATAACTCAAAATTTGATAGAACATTATATCAGAAGCATAGGAAAAACTCAAAATAGTATGACATTTTTCTTAAAATTACAAGATTTTCATATACATGACATTTTTTTTTTTTTTGCAAGATAGCAAACACTTCTTTTACATGAACAAGCAAAATAGTTTGAATTATATATGAAAATCATTATTCATAGTATATATCCAATAGTGATTTTATATAATTAATTGATTATTTTTAAGTATAATATGTGCAAATTATGTTCAATCATAGGGCTTTATAATAAAATTCGCCTTAATTTTGTTTAATTTATTAAATCCCAAACCAATCAAATAACACCGAAAATTGAAATTTAATTTTGAATTGAAACAAATCTGCCTCAGATTTTGCATGATTCAAAGATTCCAGAATTAGCCCTGGGCCCTGGGCAGGTCGGGCTGGGCTCGGGGATGGTAATTACGGATCGGCCTGGTAGTTTAAAAAATGTCCCATTTCGGCCTTCTAGATTGATCGACCTGATACGTTTTTGGGCCAAGCCCATATTGGGTCATTCAAGCCCGGTAAAAAGCAAATTCTGAAAGATGTGTGTATATAAGGTGGCAAGTATGTAAATTTTATTTTAAATTATTTTATAACATTTTTAAATATTTTTATTTTACTATCACATACAAAATTTCAAATAAA